TAAACTATCACATATATATTAGTCTTACCATAACATTAACGTATCATTTTGATGATCAAACGACTAATAACATTTTAAATTAAATCATAAAATGTTTTACTCTCATTATCAATATTTCTATTTTGATATAAAACATATAAATTTAATTAAGAACTTTATCACATAAATTAAATGATAAGATAATAAATATGATAATAAAATACTATTTTCATATATTAAAATAAATTATCAAATAATAATGTATTCAATATATTACACGAATAATTGGATCGTGGATATACTACTTATATCCCCAATAAAATGATGTGATGAGATGATCTTGTAGGACAGGGGATCGTACATCATAGATTGATATATATGTATATACACATATATAAGATGACTTAACTATGAAGTAGGGAAGTAAAGAGTGAAATGATCGCGTAAAGGCAAGCTGGGGTTATGAGTGGGATCAACTATAGTTTAAAATAGAAAATGATGATCAACTGAAATTAATCTTTGGAGTGACCAAATCTATTGAAGACTAACATGAATAACTTAAATAGAATAGATGGATGAAAAGAGAGTATGAATGAAATTGGAAAGCCGAGAAGAAAGTGTGCTGACGGGTTCAGATTTTTAGGATTAGTGAGAGGAAATGGCCAGATCTAGGTCCTAAATAGTGATGAGTGGGAGTATGAAACTGAAGAAATGGTGGTAGAAGAATAGGAGCTAAACGAACCTTGTTTTGGGAAGGTTAATGGAGAGAAATAAAAATTGGATAAAAGGAATATAAGGTATAATGTGGAGGAGAGTGTGGTCAATTATGTGGAGGAATTGAATATATATGAAAATAAGGCAAAATGTGGAGGATAACCTGGTTGGATCTGTAAAGGGTTTGGTATAAATTAAGAAAATTTAATCTGAAAAAATTTGCTTGCAGTTTTGGTGTAGAGGGTAACTCGATGTGGGTGTGTGGCCCATTGGTGGCCCAAATATGCTTGATAAATGGGCACTTTGTGTGCTGACCTGTATGTGTTGGCTTGATATCTCATATGCATGTTGCGCGGGTTATGTAAAATGGTTTGAGTGGCCCAGTAAAGGTTGTTTATTTTGCATTATGTTTTGATTATGTGATGACATCTGATTAAGTGGTAACGTAAGGTGAGAAGGGAATCATCGAAAGGTCAGTAGGTCTAATGCAATATGTTATGAATGATACTCAATACTATTACCTTGTCTAACAATTTATCTACAGATTATAAACCAATTGAGTATGGGTTTATAGATGAAAAATGAAAATTAATGTATGGGCGTGTTGTAATAAAAGAAATGGGTTAGGTATAGGAAGGGTGCAGAGGTTCTAAAATACCAAAGGAGTCATATGGCTACTGAAGGTGGGAGCGGAGCAAATTGGGAAAACATGAGGGGTTTAACTTGCTGTATTGAGAGAATATTATGTTGACAGAAAATGAAGACTACTCCTACCTATTCAAGGGGTCGGTCTGGGTAAACAAAAGGCAGGAAACGTAAGGGTTAAGCGTTGGGAAGTCATGAGGTGCATGTTGATTGAACAACAAAGATGATCATGGTGGTGAAGTTTTGAAAATCTAGCATAAAGAAAGGCTAGTGACTATTATGAGTAGGAGAGCATGTAAAGAGATTTTGTGATGCTCTAAAAGCATCACAGAGAAAGGGTAACAGGTTATTTGAGTGAGAGAGGCATCAAAATAATTATGAAAAAAAAAAATTCGAAGGTATAATAAAAGAGAATAAAACACTGTTTTGGAGTAGGATAGTCTTGAGAGGGGATTCCGATATAAGAATTATACTAATTTTAATACCCTGATTCACATTCTAAATTTAATTTACTGGGCATGTATCAGTTCATTACTTCTTATTGACATACATGGTGAAGTAAGAACAAGCACAAGAATTACCCTAGCAAAATCCAACACATAGCGAGATGCGTGAAGTGACTAAACGACATCACTACCATTATACGCACTTACACAACAATTTTAAATGCATGTAATAAAAATAATTATATCTAAGTAATACGGAATTAGTAGATAAAATACTATACATACATGTTAAAAAAAATACAGAGAATAATTTATGTTTGACATTTAACTTAAAATTATAGTTACACAAAATATAATGTTTAAATATATGATTACTGATAGACAATAACAAGTAACATCGACGCCTCGTCTAGTTAAATTTTAGAATGTTACAACTTGTCATTTTATTAAAAAGTGATTTTATATTATCCTTAAAAATTATAATTTAAACAAAACTAATCATTTATAAAATTTTCATCATTTGGTAAGATTTCGTGGTTGAAAAATGGCAATTTAACTGAAAATATACCTAATTTAATTTATAATTTATTACTTTTTTAAAAAACTGTAACTGCAGTAAAAAATTTAAGCTATTCATAAAACACAGAGAAAAAGAAGGCTTTCGTAAGAAGTTATCAAGGCCCAACCTTATCAAGAAGTTACCGGCCCATTACCTTTATGACGCACTGACCCGGGGATGTGACGATTGAGGAGGCTTATTTAACCCGAACCGAAACTGACTACATCAATCCCGGATCCAAAATCGACGTGTAATTAAAAATTCATGCAAAATTTGACCTAGCGTCATTAGAACAACAAACAAAAATGGGGTCTTGAAAGCATTAAACAAACAGAAAACACAGAAAAAAAAAAAAAAAGTATATAAACAAACAGACAGAATCAATTCTGAAGACTCATTTTAGACGGAGCTTCTCTCTGTTTTCACTCTTTATTAGTTGCTAATGTGGATCTGGTTCCGTGCTTTCTCCTTCTCCTTCACTTCACTTCCCTGTGTCCTGTCATAAGCTTCATTTCCCAATCATTGAAAGACAAAATCAACATGTTAACACACACCAGGTTAACCATAGAAAAGTAAGAAAGTGTTTGACATTAATTTTATTAATGAACTAATTACCCTGATGGTCTACGTGGATCTCCTTGTCTATATCAACTTCAGGCATCCTCTGGTTTCCTCCATAGATTCCACCAAACCCTTCTTCATCAGATCTCGTTGCATACCCTTCTCCAAACGAAATCTCCATCACATCCCTTCAATTTCCAAATCCCGCCAAAACACCCGTTAGTGAAAAAATAGATCCATACAAATTGCAATAAAGAAAACAAGGATGAATTCAATAGTATTAATTATACGAAGTAACAAATGCATTTTTCTCTTTTGGATCTGTCGATCTGTCCATGTCGCCCCGGTTTTCTGCCTGGCTAGGCACAACGTTGTGAGCTAATCGTACCAAAGGAGTTAAGCGGCTGCCGGCGATGTAACGAGGAACGGGCGGCGAGCGAAGAGTGATGGCGGGAAATGGCTGAGCTATGACCGACTTGAAGGCGTGAATCATTTTAGGCGGTTGAGTTTGTACAGAGATTTGCTTAAAGCAGCCCAAAGGAGGACTAACCGATAAATACAAGACAGTGAAGGGGGCCGTTGATAAATTTGGACACTAAATTATCATTTTCGCGCGGTTCGTTTGGTTTGATTCTAGTTTATCGACACGTGGATTTATCAGGACGCGTTTCGACCTCTTAGCGAAGGAGATGACACGTGGCAACCTGCCGTCGCCCCAGCTGCTCCGCACCTGTTAAGGGAGTGGATAATTTTGTTTCAGAAAAAAATGAGCAGATAAAATTAATCTTTTTTGTTTTTTTTTTAAAGGAAAATTTTAGGTATTTATACAATTATATTTAACGTAATATTTTGTAGTCAAATTTCACATATGATTAATTTTCTCGGGGTCGTATTCACATTAGACTTGTTTGGTCAAGTTTTAAAAGTAACGGGCCTGGTAAAAACTCAAATGGGCCGGTAAAAAGTATAATGGGCCTATATGGTTCAACACGATAAGTTTAATCACCGGGCCACTGGAAGCCTGATGATGTACCGAAAGTTCTACGTTAGATGGGCAATTGTGTAATTGTAATTTTTTACTTTTTCAACAGTCGGAAAAATTTCATTGACAGGTAACTTTTACGGAGCAGTTGCAGAGTCTGTCTATGCGTCCTCCGACTGGAGCTTGTGGGGACCAGTCGACCGTTGCAGAATCACATGACATCAGCAACTGCAGTCCTCCTATGGATCTGACAGCACTCACCACCTCAGTGCGTGGCTGATGTCAGACTTTGCCTTGTGCTCTTGACCTCCCAACTGGCAACAGCCAGTAAGTAAATCCAAGGTCCAAGCTTCGTAGGTTGGGAGAAGTAGCAGAAGATTAGAGGGAGGACCGGATCTGATCAGATGCATGAATGGTAGAAGAGAAGAAACATGTCTCCGGCAGGGTCCATTGGGACAAGATGACCGCATTACAAAACATTATAACTCCACTCTATTCACCTACGAGGTTAATTGGTCCCATTCATAAATTGATTTTAACACGATTAATTTTCATTTAGAAGATAAGATGTCATGTTTAATAATCTTTTTTTTTTTTTTAATTTTTAATCTCGATTTCAAGAAAAAATTTAGGTGCAAATATTGAAAAAAATGTGACTTGAAATGGACCGCTCTGAAAGATAAAACAAACATTCAATTATAATTCATATTGAGATTTTGATTTTCTTTTCTAAATGACACCAGGATAACTTATAACAATAGGAACATACATAATATTTTCATTGATTTATTAATTTAAATAACTAATTAAAATTATTGAGTTATTTTTTTTGTTAAATATTTAAATATAACATAATTATTTAATTTTTTTTTTTTAATCTATTATAAAATAAGAGAAACTTGAACATTTAGAATAAAGAAAAAATATTAAAAAACAAACTGTACCAAATGTCAGATTTTAATTTACTAATATGATTGTTGGAGATGAAAGTGACAAGCATTAAAGGTACGATTAAGATACAAGACCGAAAGACAGAGGAAATTAGATTGAGAGGAGGCGAAAATTAACAGCGCGGGTCCTTCTTTCCATTCACAGATTAAAGGAAAACGATGGCTACGCTCAGCGGCAGAATCAAAAACAGCCAGTAGCCGGGAAAGCCATAAAAAATTTGTGCATGTGTGGCAGAATTAATCACTTGCGTAAACACTCTGCTTTTTTCTGCAAGTCATAATCGACATTTTTCAAGTAAGAAAATTAAAATTATTTATTGTATTGGTCTTAATCAGAAAACCCAAGTAGAGAAATTTCACCCAATTCCAGAAACTGAGAGACACTGACTGCTTTGCTTGCTATTTCATGTTCTCGTTTTCATTTTTTTTGCAGGAAGAAATTGGCAGAATGGTAGGCCTTTCTGCAGTAAAATTTTAGGGGTGAAGTAATGATTGATAGCTAGCGGCAGAACAATTCAATAATAAAAAAAAAAAAAAAATCAGTGGGAAAAGAAAGTTACAGGGAGTGTATTATTATTAATCAGTTCTTGCTATTATATGGAAAGGTTAAATTGACACCAAATTTTTGATATCCAAAGATTCAAATTTTATATACAGAGTTACAATTACCACCAAGGGAAAGAAATCTCTGTTTTCTTTTCAATTTCATTTCCCTCGTCTTCTTCTTTTTACAATTTGAAGGAGAACCCGAAAAGAAAGTTTCAGAACCAGTGACAAAAACCCAGCGGAAAGCAGAAGGGAAACCCATAAAATCTAAGAAGAAAGTAAAAATCTCCAAACTGTAGAATCTAATAAAAGCTAGTGACTCCATTAGTGCACTTCTACAATGCTTTTAATTAAAAACAATACCTTCTACTAATCAACACTGATTAGGACTATCATATTTTTATCTAGCAAGAGAGGAAAAAGCACCCCACAGGAACATCAATGGCGTATCGACACTGAATAATCCGTTTTGCTTCGCACCGAAGAGAAAAATTACCAGGTGGAAACTTTATATAATTTCGGCCAAAAAACCATCAACGCCATGAAGAAACAGTGAGGAGAGGGACTTCGTTCCAGGCTAGGGAGAGAAACCCAGGTTCAGAATCGATCAGTGAGTAGAGAGGACTGTAATTATAGTTCCACAAAAGTATCTTAGCTTGACTCATTGCGTAATGGCTGAGTGGGACCGAGTCAAAGCCGCAGCTTTCCATTAAAACCCTCCATTGCTCCTTGTCCTCCATGCGTTCTCTTCTGGTTTCCGGTTCCTCTCGTCCAATCACGCCGGAAATCCTCCGGCCAAGTAACAATCGCTCGACTTGGAGCCTCTCAGGCGAGTCTCTGGTCAAATTTGGCTCGAGCGATTCAAACACCGCAGCGTAAAACCTTAATGCGTTATTGAACCGGCTGGCAAACCCGACCCGATTCAAGCTCGCTTCGTGCTCCCCCAGCGTCACGATTTTTGGTTTCAGTGATTTGGCCAACCTTAGCGCAGCCTCCACAGCAGCTGTAGTCTCGTCCAACAGATTATATAATTGAAGCATGAAGTTCACAGCCAAAACCTCGTCAGGCTCAACTCGGAAAGTCGCTTCGTTGAGCTCCTGAATCGGGGAAAGAATTGGCTCGAACTCGAAGTTCAAATCAAGAAGCTTTGCAAAATCACGAAGACGATTTCCAGTAGCCAGTAAAGATGAACCCGGGGATTTCCCGAGAGCGGGAGCCGGAATACCCGAGATCCGGATTCGAGCGGGTTTTCCGGCAGTCCTGGTAGCCAGAGCTTGCAGCAGCGCCGCCCACTGAACCCCTTGAACAATCCCAAAATCGACTATGTGAATCATGCTCGCCGTCTCCGTCGCCTCGAGTATCGCCTGGTTAGCTGTTAAATGAGCAAATTTGGCGTAAGGACAGGCATCGTTTAGGGCTTTATAAGACAGAGTGAAATCCTCGCAGGAAGTCTCCACAATGGTCAAGCTTTTCTCTGCTTGCAGGGATAGCCTACTGTGAAGAGCCTCAGTAAAATAAAATCCTACTCGCTCAGTCGGATTTCCTTGGTCGGACACCGATTCACGGAGACAAATCAGAGATTTCACCGCACGATCGGGCTCTGACTCCGCGAGTCTGGCACAGTCGAGTAAGGCTTTGAAAAGCGGAGGTGATGATACAGGTTCCGGTGAGCTCGAAGAGACCCCAACGGGGTCGTTTTTGAGAAGATTCAGGGTTTGGGAGTTAGTGGTCTTGGTGTCTTTCAATAACGCTTGCAGAGGCTGCGGCGAGGGTAATTGTGGCGGTGAAGGAGCCCACGCAGTGACCTGAGGCTGTTGAAGAGTTGCCGCCGGACTCTTCTGGGTCTCGGTGAAGATAACTGGGTTCAGATCGGAAGGCGGAGAGCACGCCACACCGAGTCGACTCGGGCCGGTGACAAACGGATCAGGCCCGTAGAGGCTAAAATCAGAACTATGCTGCCAAGGTTCGCAACCCGAGGGCAGATTTGAACTATCCGTCGAATCCCCACCACCCATCAAACTATCCATCCACTCATCAGAATCAAACTCGCCGCCAGCACCACCCCCGAAATCAGAGAAACGGAACCCGGTAGAGTGATGCTCTATATGCGGGAACTGAAAGCCTGACTCCCCCGCATCTCCACCGCCGGCGACCTGAAAAGGGTCGGCAAAGCCAGGACCCGAAAGGGAATAACCCAAATTTGAAGCATTTGACATGGGGTGGTGAGTAGCACTACTGGGCCAGGGATTAAGAGAAAAAGGATTAAGACCAAGAAGCTGCTGTTGTTGATTATGCTGCTGCTGCTGCTGTTCTTGCTGTTGCTTTTGCTTAATCACTTGCTGCGCTATTGCCATTAGATTGCCACTGTCCGCACACATATATGCCATTCTCCGGCCAAATCTCGCCGGAAAAAAGAACAGAAGCAGCTGCACTCACATTACCCCAAAACACGTTAGCAAAAAACTGCAGAGACTGAACCAGTGTTGCTCTAGCAACATGCAGAGTGCTCAAAAAGATAGTAGAAATTTATAGCGAAGAGGGAGAGCGAGTACATACACGAGTAAAGGCCCAGAAGTAACGGGATCACAGGCTTATAGCTTGGATTTCCTCGAGCCAGCAGCAAGCTACAGAGGGAGAGAGATGGAGAGAGAGAGATGATAAGAATAGCTTTAGAGAACGAAAGCTCTTTAAAGTCCCTACAAATGAACAGTGGGTCCTACATTTTCCATTTCAGATCAAAATAAAATGATTTTTTAATAAAAAAATTACTGCTATGCTTATTTAAAATGTTGGAAGACAAAAAATAAAAAAGAGATGTGGAAATCTCGAAAGACTCGAAATAGTGGAAACGCTACTCGCTCTAATCTGGATACATATAACTACACTCAAGCCTGCTCTCCGCTCTGCGGCCTTTCTTACTTTCTCCAAACATGAAAGACGCCCAGTTGATGTGGGCCCATGATGACGTGGCACTCAACTGATCGTGATATGACTACACTAGATCACAAACGTCCACGTGTGCTCTCATTTTTTCTCCATTTCCTTCTTTCTCCTCCCGCGCTGTTCGGGGACCCTTTGGCGAAGACGCCAGGGCCCACCATCAACCTTCGTCCCGGGACGCGTCCATTTCCTATACGGCGCGTCGATTTCGCCGCCGCTCTATGATGTCATCATCCGTAATCCACTCGAGAAACCGGGGACGGATCCTGACCGTCGGTTTCAAAGGAGGACCCCAGGTTCAGCGCTTCCCGCTGCATTCATGTACTGTACTGACACAAACAACATTGGTTTTCTCTTGTCCGCCGCGCTAGGACAAAACGACTATTCACGTTGCGTATTACCCCCAAGTTACTATTGCCTCAATTAGTTGACACGTGTCCACTATATATTTGTTTATTAAAAAAAAAAAAACTGTCACCAATCCACCTGTGGGTCAGTGCCTTGAGTGTCGCCAGTGTACCTGTGCAGCAAATTGGCAGCCAGTGGTGTTTTTAGTCGATAGCCTACAGGCTCTAGTCTACACCAACCTTTGTTATCTTTATTTTTTTCAAATGAAAGGTTAAAAAAAGTAAAAGTGGTAGGGAGTAAAAAAGTGAAAACGGAAAGGTAAATAAAAGGCCGAAGGGGGGGGGGGGGGGGTCTCCAGAGGCTTTTGATCTTTTGGATGATAAAGTGGAGGGAAGAAATTTGGCTGATACAGTCCGTCCCTTTTGGGCGGTTAATGGGCCCACTAGGGACCACCTTCGTGGGGCCCGCATTGCCGAGAACCGGTGAGGAAAAGAGTGGTGGATGGTGGGGCCCATAGGAGAAGGGATTGTTGGAGGCGGATCTTGACCAACCGAAATGCCAACAACCGAAAAGAAAAGCAACGGTGCAGGATATTTTGACGGGCCACGTTGGCAATTGGGCTCGGCGACTGACGAGGAAAGAAGTTCATGTCCCGCCCTAATTTATTCAATTAATATAAATAAATAATTTTGTATTTATCAATTGGTTCATTTATGATTAAAAAAAAAAAAATTAAGTGTAATTACAAATCAATCAATGAATTTTAGATTCATAGTTATTTAAAATAAAATTAATATATATTATGATATCTTTTTTAAAAAAAAAAATATGAACGGTAATCATAAATCAAACTATGAAAAAATAATTCTTTTAAATTTTAAATTTGATGTGAGAAATTTGGGCAAAAAATATTTTTTTTTAACTAAAAAAATAATTTAATGGAGAGAAATGATTGGTTGAGAAGATTAAAAGATTAGACAGGCATTTCAACAAGGCCCACTCGTAACTCCGCAGTGCCTTATCCCAACTCCATGTTTCTGCTTCAATCCCAAGCTCTATCCTGTCTAATTCAACGGTCGAGCCTTACTAATCCAAAATTATTTTTATAAATTGATTAATTAATTCTGCATTAAAACTTTTAGTCGTTTATTAAAAATATTGTACAATTCTGCACGTTTATATATACAGATTATAAATAATAATATAATATTCCAGTAATTTATTTATTTATTTCAAAAAAATGGTAGTTGTATTTATATAGTTTTTTTAAGTGCTTAAGATATTTTATATTTTTGTATTATTTAACTTATATATTCATTTTAAATTTTATTACTAATTTGAGTTCCGCATGAAATTGTATGTATAATCTATTTTTTATTATCATAATATAATATACATATTTTCATAATTGAATTAACTCTAAAGTTTACCAATGAATTTTACATTATTTATAAATTTGTTCCAAACATATTTTTTACATTATGCTTTTCATATAAGTGATAAATTAATTGGGTTAATTAACACACACACACATATATGTAACTATTCAATATTTAAGGAAATTCAATCAAATATGAGAGAGATGCAAACAGTCTTGTAAATTGATTGATTTCATTGAGGGGAAACATGTAAAATGAAGCATAAAAATCAGCGGAATGATCTGATGGATGGAGTTCATTAATTTATCGGTCCCCGTTGATGATGCCGACTAACTTGTATTTTATTAAACACCACATGTTTCATGCTAACACTATCACTTCAGATTACCAGATAACCACTACCCTCTTACATATATATAATCTTTATTAGCTACATATAGTAATTGGATTTCAACATTTTATTATTATTATATATATATATATTTATAATAATAAAAATACCGACTCATGTATTTCACTGGTTTGAACCCCAATGATTATTAATTTTCTGTAATATATATTAAAAGTTTATAAGAATAATTTTAAATAATAATATTATATTATTTACTGTAATTATGAATGTGGAGAAAAAAGAAAAAGAAAAAGATAAGGCATAGTCTATAAATTTCTGTATATCATTGAATTATTATCAATTATGGGACCACATTTCGCTAAAAACTCATTATATGTATCGTTATATTACATTGAATTTTGTTCTTAACCAATAAATCCTATTATAATATATATATATATATATATATATACACATGTATGTATATATAAAAGACAAAATTTTTAAATTAGGATCAAAATTATGTATCTCTCCGATAGAATTAAAATCAAATCATTTATATGTAAAAACCAGGAAATCTTTTAATACGAGTGACGGCATGGATAGTTGGTTCTTCTGAAATTCTCAAATGGTTTGTGTCTAGGTTCTAGGGATGGGCGGCTGGGGCACAGCAACCGGGAAAAGCCAATATATGAAATCTTTTTTTTATTTATTTCTAATTGATTAGACTTGATTTTTTTTTGCTATTTAGTTTAAAAATAAATATATTTTTATTTATTTTTAAAATTATCACTGTTAATTTATTAGATTATTTTGATATATAATATTTTATTTTATAAATATTTGATGTATAAAATAAAATTTTTGTAGGCTCACGGTGAAATGATTAAGTAGAATATTATTCATCCGTATTTTATTTTATTTACCTCTTGCTTGAAAGAAATATGTAAATGTATCATCCGTTCGTCAATGCATTGACAAATTATCATGTTTATATATATATATATATATATATATATGTATGTACAATAATTATGATTCTAATATATTAATAATACAGAAATTTATATATTATTAAAATTAAAAACTTAATTTATTAACACGTAGAGTTACGTTTCGATTAATAAATTAACTAATAATATTTTTAATTTCTCCCACTTTGATTATACAATGTGTATATATTTATTTATTATTTCATTAAATGAATGTTATCACTTACTTTGTCCACAACAATGGAAGGGTCCAAACTAAAAATTTATAGGTTTCAATTATTGGTTTTTTGGTTTCTTTAATAATAGTAATAAGATAAACTAAACCTAATCATGATGTTGCAGTTAAGTCATCTTGATCATCATCATCATCATTGTACACGTGTCTTCTTAGACATATTAAAAATATATATAGATATATATATATATATCTTAGCTTTTTATTTATTCAAATATATAATTAATATAATTATTTTAAAATATACACAATTCAATTTATTTTGAAATTTATAGAAAGTCTGAAAAGAAATTTTTTTTTTTTGAGTAAAGATCATCATAAACAGTAGTTGTTAATTATGAATCATATTAACTAATTATTTATTTGATGTTGTGATTATTAATTCCTTTAATTTAATTACAATTATTTAAAAGTTTAAAATAAATATTTTTTTAAAAAAATTCAAATAATTTCCATTTCAAGAGAGATTAAAATATCTATTCAAAATGTAACGCTCCGAAAATTCCAAAAGAAATAAGTTATAAATTTAGTGCGGAAGCAAAATAAATAAATAGGTTTTACATTCATTATACAATAATTCAGATTACCCAGTAGGGTTACGAGAATGACCATTTTGAAAAAAATAAAAAAAAATCAAAAAAATAAATAGAAAATAAACAACTGTGCATCCTACTCGCAATCTTCTTGTGGATCGGGTTATGGATATTGGTCATCTTGATTTGAAATGATTAATGAAAGAATGAGTTACATTAATTCAAGCAAAAAATTACGCAGATCACTGACACAGAAATGAAGGCTGGTATAAATAATAAAAACAACTAATGGAGCTATTAATTTAAGTAAATTCGTTTATCATTAATAAAATCATTTACAACATACTTATTGTAACGAAATTTCTAAAAAACAAACTTATAAAGTCAATAACATAAATAATATCAAAATCTTACATTCAATCAGTCAGAATAACGACTTTTTCTTTTATCAGATTACTAGTATCCATAAGGATCCATATGGATGTCCCCATTATGCGTAAACATTTATTCAACATTTTCAAATAATGGGCCGTTCTCATACCTCATCCGGTATGAGCGTCAAAAGATATTATCCCTCAATATCCCATCTAGTATGAGGGTGAAACGGTCCATCCTCATACCCCATCCGGTATGAACACTAAATTACCAATCTTCGATACCGTCGTCCACGGTAATGGTTTGTCTCGGGTTGATTTTTTCCGTCATTTTCAGCTTATTTCGGCCGGTTTTGTACCAATCCCTGTGAGAAAATACGTTAAGGGGCCTCAATTGACCGAAAAAATCAAAATACCGAAGCTTAATGGCGGCGGAGATCTATAGTGCGGTGGCTCCACCGATTCACCTTTGCGGTTGGGTGTTTTGCTTTAGTCAAATCGTAGAAAAAGGAATAGTGATTATAATGGTGAAAAAATTACACGAAACGGGAATCGGAAAGGACATCATTGGAGGCAATTTTTTATTTTTTCCTGCGGCAATGTC